AAAATGCTTAATTCATTTTAAGGTTAAATTCCAAATCTCCTAAATTTGTTAGAGATGTGATATCACTCTCAAAATATCTTATTTCACCACCAAATTAAATATATTTTTCATCTTACCCCCCCCCCCCCCTTTTTTTTCTTTCTTTCACCTATATTTTTTACAAATTTATAAACCGTTCATCGCTAAACTAATTGTTATATTTATAAAAACAACCCTCCATTTTCACTGGTGAGTTTTTTTAGCAATTCTATATAACCGGTACTCCAAAATTTATTGGTAAGATTTTAGCTTTAAATTACATAATAATTCATTTTTTTTCCGAAATTTAAAGTCGAGAATTTTTCGATATTTAAGAACTTATGTTTTAAAATGCTTAATTTAGAATCCAAATCTCTTAAATTTGTTAGAGGTGTGATATGTCCATCCTCAAAATATCTTATTTCACCACCAAATTAAATATATTTCTCATTTTACCCATTTCTTTTTCTTTCACCTATATTTTCTATAAATTTATAAACCGTCCACGGCTAAACTAATTAAAATATTTATAAAAAAAAAACTCCACCATTTTCACTGAAATGTTTACCGCAAGATCTCACCCTCTCCACCTTAAATGAATAATACTTTCGTCAAAGAAAAACATTTTTCAAGGTCAAAAAGAGCAGAAATTCATGTTATTGGAGAAATAAATTAAAAGACCGTATGGAAGGTCCTGTACTTTCTTTAGAATTGGCCAGTTTGGCTCAATATAATTTCGTTTTCTAAAAAAAGAATTACATAATCTGTAGGTCATATGGAAGTTTAAATATCTTGTAATAAATATTTCACTGCAAAAAAAAAAAGAAATTAAAAAATAAAAAATAAAATAAAATAGAAATAACTTAGAATACACGAGGATTTAAGCGAATATAAGGAAGAGTAATAGATTATAAAGGAGAGGGGTATTTATGATATTTTATACATCTTTGGTGGTGGATTGTAATATTTTGAAGGTGGAAATATCATTACTCATTTGTAATTTTTTTTTTCACAATCCAGAATATCTTTTTCATATTTAGGTGATGTTTGCAATAGATTTTCAAAAATGATTCTGAACTCAAGCTCGTAATCACTTTTTTAGCTAAAACAACTTTTCTTTTTTCCTTCTATAAAAATAAGTTTTTTGAGCTAGAATCTCAAAAGCACTTATATTAATGTTAAGAACTCCTTTTTTCTTAAATAATCAACTTTAAGTTATAATTTATTAAGTACCCATGACCCTACTTTTCGTACTTAAGTTTATTTTTCGTTAAATTTGCAAACACCCCCAACTTTTGAAAATATGCATTTAAAATCAATTTATCTCACAATCTATAACTTCTGCTTTTAAATAAACTTTTGCAAACACCACTTAATTGACCGTTTAAAGTTAATTTTTTTAAAGGTTCTACAAACAATCCGACTTTTGAAAATAAGCATCAACTTCACCCGTAAATCGTAATCACTAACTTTTGAAAATATATAAACATGCATTCAAAATCATAAAATTATACCTTTTCTTTCAATTTTTGCTATTGTTATGATATTATTATCGCCATTATCAATAATGATTTCTTAGTAATAATTATAAAAAAAAAGTTATATAACTAGGATGTTTGCAATTTTTTTCCCGCCGGTCAACCGCGTTTCATAGCATACACAATTTTTTTTTCTGTTTTGAAGGGAAAAGCAAGCTCCGTCGTTATACCCCTCCGTCACACAAGTCGACCTACACTTTGCATCTTGACACACACCTTTGTAGATTCTGCTCTGTATCCCACCGATAAGTTTCTCTTCCTTTTCCTCCGATTCATTAGCTGACCCAATATCTGCGTTCATAGTTTACACACATTAAAATGTAACAACTTTTTTTTTTTTTTTATAGATTTCAAATTCATTTATATACTTAAAAAAAAAATATAAAACATATATACGAACGCGATTTATTTCCATTTCCAAATTTATAAGAATGCACTTGTTTATAATTATAGTTCTTCTTCTCGGGGTACAATAACCGACCGAGAAGTTTGACTAGAAGGAAACCCTATTTGGTATAAAAACAAATAAAATAAAATAAACTCCGAACCCGTTAAGAAAAAAAATAAATATATGATTATTATTTTGTAGATAAGGCAAAAGAGCAGACCGCTGATGAAGAGAAGCAACATCATGAAAACAACACTCAAGATTGAGTTCTTCATATTTACGGATTATTATAGGCTAATCAAACTAGATGACGAAGATTTCGAGATATAATTAGTAGGAACTAGTAAGACGTTCTTATATATTATGAATGATAAGATGGTTTAGATTTTTTGTTTGTTATTAAATTAAGTAGAGATAAGTACTGCCATGAATTCGTTTAAACCCCTTGTAGATAAATAGAAAACATAAATTATTGAAATTTTGGAAAAGTGTTGGTGACCTTTCAAATGTCTGCCTATAGCTTTTATTTATTTTTTATTTATTTATTTATTTTTATTTTTTTGTTTTTAATTGTTAATTTTTTTTAATCATTAAATAAAATTGGACCTTTTGGTTTCATTTCCGTCATTGCATGCAGACGCAGGTAAAAAGAGTAAAATTATATGCTACACCCGGTTCTTAATAACGGGTGAATTTCAATCGTAGATCTACACATAATTACATATATCCATGTGTATGTGTGTTTAGTGGATTGTTATTTAATCAAATCTACGGCTCAAATCCGCCCGATGTATATAACCAGGTGTAGCTTCTAACTCCTAATAAAAAGAATTGCATCATCTAGTTTGATATCCGTCATTAGACTCTTTCTTAAAATTCCCATAGAGTCTAACATCTAGGGCTGGAAAATACAAGATTTTGGGCAACCAAAAACATGAATTTAGGTAAAAACAATTTTTGGGGGCAAAGTGCAAAATGGCCTTAGTTCAGAGGGCAAACTGCTGTTTACTCTTAAATTTTTTTATTATAAATATAGCAACACCACCTCATACTTCAATTTTATTAGCATACAACTAATTAGTATTTCGTCGAAAGTGGAAGAAACATTGATATTTATGCAATGCACTTGGTAAATTCTGTAATTCGGATTATTGAAAACTAGTACCTCACTCGTGCGATGCACGATGGTTAATTTTATAATTAAAATGTATTACCGTAAAAAATCAATGAAATAATTTGATGTACCAATGTAAAAAATCCAATGGAATGGCATCATTTGATTTGGAACTATCAAATTCCATTTAGTGTCAATGCTTTCATGTGGAAATTAGGGCAAATTATGGAGACCTCCTGTGGTAAGGTATAATTATGAAAACACCCCTCTTGTTTGCATAATTACAATCACTCCTCAATTATGTACTATTCTACACATCCACCCTTACAATGTCAAATTTACCTACCCGGTTGGTTAACCGATCTAATTGAACCGAAGGAAAATTAGTACATGCCAATTACCAAACCGTTAATTCGATGTGGTATTCAGTTTTTTATATATATTTATACATGTAATATTATTATTTAGACTAAAATTAATTAGAAATAAAAAAATAAAAAAACATCAAATTTTTAAATATTTTTAATAAAATTTTGGTAATTCAGTTATTTACCAAACCAAATGCTAAACGGTATGCAATTTTGGCGTACCGCAATCTATGTACAATTTTACCGAATGAAAGCCCCTAAATTTAACAATATGAAAAGTTTTTTCGTAAGATAATACATAATTGAGCTGAGTGGTTGTAAGTATACAAGCATGAAGAATTTTTCGTAATTTAACATTACCTTAGATGTGGTCGTAATTTGCGAGTGGAAATTATTGTATAAAGCTTTGTCATGGTGGACACTTTGATGTTTGTGCAAATTCAAAAGAATAGAGTCACACATAGAAAATCATAAAAGATATACCTTTAATTGTATTATTTATTCTTTTGCTATTATTATATAGGGTCCATTTGATATATATACACCCCTCATATAGAAAATAGGGTAAATTACACACACCCCCCTGAGGTAAGCTTAAATAACTGTAAGGTCCTTGTGGTATCGATAATTACACTCAGCCCCCTGAAACGTAGTCAGAAACTCTAATGGGATAATGAATTGGATACGTTATTCCGATAGGGTTCTAACGGACTATTGGTTTCAGAAAGTGGTGGAGACAACAAAGAGCTATGGGG